TATGTGTTGTTATGGAGTTTGCTACATCTCAGTCCAGGGTTGGGTGAGAACATACTTCCGGGAGTGTTGCATGTATTTGCAGAAGTGCTGGGGAAAAGATAGATGCCACCTAACAATATTCTACGACTCTAATCACCCAGGAGACCCAGCAGGAGGGGCTGGACTGGAGAAGACGACATCAACAAAGACTCCAGTTCTGGCCCTGATGCAGAGGCTGCCCTTAGGAAAAGGCTGGGAAGTGCTCTGAGGGCAGGATGTGAGCAGACATGCAGACCCATGCTTGTCCCTTGGCCACGCGTGCACTGCCTCAACCTGGCACTCGCTGAATTGGCTCCTTTTCTCTGTCACCCTCTGCCCCTCTGTGCAGGGCAACAGGAATGGCAGATTTAGTGACTTATAATAAGGAAGCCCACAGGCCAGAGAACAGAATCATCACCAGTGTTTGCAGCTCAAACATTCTCTGCTTTATCTCCCATCTTATCCCTCCCGCAGCAGTCATGCTATTCTCAACCGAGTGGAGGAGGAGCATCATCAGCTCCTGCTCCCCACAGTGGTCCTCACCCCGGGAGAAAACACCTCACACTGAGTCACTGCAGCACCTACAGCTCAAGGTGACAGAGCCTACTGGAAAGCCTGACAGGAATGTCGACTTCTGGACACAGGCTTCATAAGCACTGTATGCTTCGCAGCTTCGGGCCAGAGTATCATCCCTGACTAGAGCACCACAGTGCGCGGAGTACTGATCAGCCTACAGGACTGATTTGCCTACAGGACTTGGTGAAAGCAGTGTTTCTTCACTTACTGTAATGGTAGAACGTCTAAAACATCCTTAAACACATCACACTGGACTGAGCACTGGAGGGCAAAAGAGGATCTTAAGGAGAAACCTTTGTTTTTCTCTTTTTGAGTCAAAGAATATTTGCTGAAGGGACTTTAATGACCATCCAATGCAACCTACTCATTTCCCAGACAAGAAAAGTAAAGCCCAGAGAACAGATGGGCTGTCTCTCCTAGTCAGATGGGGCTTAAAATATATATGTATATTATAAATATATATGTGTGTGTTTTTTTTCCATGAGCTTTAGTGAAAGTGACCAGTGTCATCTCATTTCCTGGCTTCTCAAGTCTAGGATCCAGCCAAGTCTAACTATTATTTATAGCTCAAATAGACCTCATAATTTCTTACCCCCACATCATGCCCCCCCATCACTTGGAACGCCATAGTCTATCTCTTCACACCCCTTCCCCCAACTTCCATTTTTTGAAATAGTTTTCATCTGTTGGTGATTAGCTCAAATATAACATCTTTTGGTAAAAATTTCTTTGCCAAAATAAAAATTCTTTTGTTCACAACTACAGCAACAGCACTTATAAACTACCTATTATGAATCATACAGCCTGCTTATATTTGATCTCATTTAGTCCTTAAAGTAACCATATGAGATTGATACTATCTGTAGTCATATTTTACAAATGAGGAAACTGAGGCACAGAGAGGGTAAGTCACTTGTCCAGGGTCACACAGCTAGAAAGTGTTTTTGATGGTTTATTATACATATGCCACATATTACCATTATGCTGATGAAGAAAGAAAACTAGATTAATAGGGTATTTTTTAGACAAACAAACTAAAACTGATTAATATATATAGATTAAAACCATTTAGTTAGTGGGCACAGAATTCCTAAATTTTCAAACCTTCCCTTGGTCCAAATTTGGCTTAAAGTATAAGGCACTCTTGCTTGAGTTTAATTTCAGGCGGGCATGTGGACAGTGTGCTGAAGACTGTTCTTTCAGGACCAAGTCCACTGACTGTGTGAGACCTGCACCTCTCACCTGATGTCTGCTACACCTGTTCAGGGTCAAACTGGTCAGCAGTGTAAATAGTCTTTGTACATTACACAGAGGGCAGATCGATCCCACCTACTGGGGATTTAACCCAAGTCCTGGACTTGAATACAATGGCTGGTTACGTGGGGATTTTTCTAGAGACAGGTTTCAGAATGTTTGCCAGATTCCCCGAGGGGTCTATAAATAACACACATTAAAAATAGTCGTCACTGTTTCAGAGGTACTGTGGAGTATTTCTAAAAAGATGAGAAGACTCTGGTAGGGCAGAATAGTTTTCTTGGATTTAAATAAAACATTTATTCCTCTGGAGAGTGTGGGTTTGATGAGAGGGTGTTCCTATCTATCGATGGTGCCGTTATCTGTAAAGCATTCAAGCTCGGGAACTCGAGAGACATCCATCCCTACCCCAGCACCTGACAGTTGATGAACCTGAGTCACAGACAAATGGAATGACTTATCCAAAACCACACAGTTCAGAGCTGGGATAAACGAGAATCCAGTCTCATTCTGTTTCATGATCCCTCCACATTAGTTCAAATAACATCCTATGAAAATGATGACAGTTACAAGGAAGATGCCTTCTCTGGTCCCTGCTTTGCAACACTATAAGAAAAGAACTGAGTGGATGTTAACTACCCTTATTTATTTATTTAAATCCTCACCCGGGGATATTTTTTTCCTACTTATTTTTAGATAAAGTGGGAGGGAGAGAGAGAGAAACATTGACATGAGAGAGACACACTGGTTGCCTCCCACATGACCCCGACCAGGGCTGGGGACAAACCGCAACCGAGGTACGTGCCCTTGGCCAGAATCAAACCCGCTACTCATTGGTCCACGGGCTGATGCTCCAACCGCTGAGCCAAACCGGCCAGGGCTTAACTACACTTATTGTGGTGATTATTTTGCAATATATTATATAAAAATGTCAAATCATTATGTTATACACCCCTAACTATATCATGGTACATGTCAATTATACCTAAAAATTTTAAAAAGAAAAGAATTGACTTGTGTACTTTTCTCACCAAAGATGGAGAAAAGAGAATTAAACTGACCTACAGTTGGTGTTCAAAGTTTTTTCGTGCTGCTAAATACCTTTCATTCTTCCATTTCTCTGTCTCTTTTCTATCTCAAATTCCTCAGATCACCAGCCCCAGCAGGTAAAACATGGTGTAAGCATGAGAGTTTTGCTCTCCTGGGATAGTAATAATCACAATGTCACAGTGTGTTAGAACTCACGCAGTGTGTATATCTCATTTGAACCTCAAAGCACATCTATTCAGGAGCAAGGAATTATAATTTTACACATGATGAAAGCAGAGTTTTCTGGAAAGCAGACAATCTCCCTAAGCAGAATAGCAACAACTTTTGCCTAACTCAGGATTTTATCAAGACCTTAATTTTAGTGTGTGGTAAATATGGGGACCAAGGTCTTTGGGAGATCCCAAATGCAGAACCCCACCCACGAATGAACTAGATGTAGTTATGTATATAAGCTAATTATATATGTAATTGTAGAGACAGATGCATATAGTCACATTACCACCTTTTCTGTTCAGAATATCTGAAAGCATAAAGTTTTCCTCTTAACGGGGAGTAAACGGGTTGCAGAGAAAAGGCGATTTGTCCTTTCCCCAAAAGTGCAAAGGCATGGCGAAGAGAATTATTACTCTATAGTGTGGAAATGTTCTTCCAAGATGTGTTAATTTAAACACAATGTTACCCTAATGAAGCAGCAAATTTAACTTATTAAAGCTTTTTTTTTTTTTTTTAATATATAACAATGCTCTTTATGCACAAAGTAAAATCTGATAGTATCTCCAATAGAGTCTTCCCTCTTTTTAAAATAAGGAACTTCAAGAACAGAGTGAAGGGTTTTAACTTTTTTAGGAAAAGCAGGATTTCGAACATCTTTACCATGAGTCAGCTCCATTTCCTAGTTGCTTATCCTCTGAAGAATTTCAGTTTTTTTAAAACACATCACCTGTACTTCATATTGTGTGTTCACCACCCCAAGTCAAATCTCTATCACCTTTCATGCCTCCTCCACTTCCCCCCACATCTCCCAAATTCCAGTTTTTAAGAGAGCAAAGTTACTTAAAAATCTAAAATAATTCTGGCCCTCCAAAATGTTACAATTCTTAAGAAATCAGCGATACTTTAAAATCTAAAATAGTGCTAAATATCAATTATTAGAAAATTCTTTCTTCTTTTCAATGGTCATTTGACCTTGGTAAGCAACTTTTCTCAGTACTCTATAAAAAATGTTTTTATTGATTTTTTTTTTTGGAGAGAGAGAAACAGAGACCAGCTGCCTCCTGCACGCCCCCTACTGAGGATCAAGCCCGCAACCTGGGCATGTGCTCTGACCTAGAATCAAACTGGGACTTCTCAGTTCATGGGCCGATGCTCAATCCATTGAGCCACACTGTCTGGGCTCAGTACTCTTTTAAACATCACTATTCTTAAACTGAATAAAGAAATTGATGGTGTGTTGCTTGCTTTTGCCCATGAGACACTTATCATTTTGAAAGAACCCCAGGGCAAATCTTGAGTGAAGAGATTAGAGTTGAAGGGAATTTGATAAGGAATCAGTCTAATCTTCTATTCTGGGTAGTATTGTCATTTACAATATACCCAAGAGGAAACCAAGAAGTATCTATTAGAATATAGCCAATGACAGGGAGCTGACTATTTCACACAGTGGTCTACCCCTTCTGTTCAGTAACCCTCATCATTTTATAGCTATTCCTTATTTTGAGTAAAACTTTATCTCCTCTTAACTTTTGTCGGGACCTGACTCCTACGAGTCACAAAGTCTCCTCTTGTGTCACGTATGAATTTTGAAGACTTGATTCCTTGCTTCAAACTTTTGTTTCTCAGATAAAATACTCAGTTTCTTTGATTTGTTTTCCTATACCTGGGGTTCAGATCCATCAATATCATCCTTCTCTAAGGATGTCCTTTTCCCCCTCAATCTATTAGAATTTACTAGTCTTTCTTCAAAAATGGGCACCTCAAAATTTATGCACCTTGGTAACTTTCAGAAATCGTTGCTGAGAAATGTCTCTTGCTTTCGACAATCAGTCCTCTTTGGCTATTGCACTCTCTTTCAGTGACAGTGGGTCTGTGGTCTGAGGACCTACCTTTGCCAAGGTCTCATCATCCAGGTGATTCTTCTGAATCACATGTTGAAGTGCAAAATAAATCTTTTCCTGAAGCTTCTGGACCTTCCTTGGTTCTATCAGCCAGGCTCGGTCTGACAAAGGAAAAGGATGGGTAAGGAGGGGAGGGAACGTACGCTTGGCTTTATTTCACCTCCATATACAAGTGCTGAGTTTCAGACCCATTTCAAACTAGTTCTAAATTGCTTCTGAAGTCATGTAACTTTTTATAGAGATCATAAATATTTTATAAGCAATTCCATGATGACAGGAATGCACAATACATTGACACAGGAAATCAGAATGGCAGTAAGGACCCGATTGTTAAATATACTCCTTCATGTTTATTATTGTCTGTGACAATTTATCTCTCGCATACTTTTTCTGGACATATGCTGAGATTTTCTTTCCAAGTGGAAGTTAATGATTTGTGAAGAAATGGATCATAGAAGTGAGGGATATTTTTGGAATTCAGGATCCCCCTTTCCCTTTTATAAGCTATGTTGTCATTTATATAGCATAAACATAAATCAATTTTAAAAATATGAGTTTTTATTTACTTTTATTTTATTTTTTTGTTAATCTTCACCTGAAAATATTTATTCATTGATTTTTTGACAGAGTGGAAGGGAGGAAGGGAGAGAGAGAAAGAGAGAGAGAGAGAGAGAGAGAGAGAGAGAGAGAGAGAGAGAGAAAGAGAAAGAGAAACATTTATGTGAAAGAGACACATTGGTTAACCAACACAACCCTGACCAGGGCCAGGGATTGAACCTGCAACCCAGGTATGTGCCCTTGACTGAGAATCGAACACACTAAACTTGGGTCCTTTTGGTCCTCGGACCTACACTCTAACCACTGAAGAAACCGGCCAGGGCTATACTGGACTTTTATTTTTTTTTAAATATTTTTTTCTTTATTGATTTTAGAGAGAGAGGAAGGGAGAGGGAGAGAGAAACACTGATGAGAGAGAACATCGACTGGCCACCTTCTGCATGCCCTCACTGTGGATCGGGCCCACAACCTGGGCATATGCCCTGACTGGGAATTGAACTGGCAACCTCCTGGTGCATGGGTCGACGCTCAATCAGTGAGCCACACTGGCCGGGTTATGTTGAATTTTTAAATAGTGAATAGATTAAGCCCTCTAGTCCTTTCTCCTTCCCCCCTTTCCTTTCTTTTTACTCTCCTTCCTCCCTCTCTCCCTCTTCCCTTTCTTCCTTTCTTCCTAGAAGCTCCAGACATCGTGGTGACAACATTCGGCCCAGTGTCAATGCCTTATGTTGGAACTTCAACGGAGAGACACCTGGAGTCTCCCAGTGCTGAAAACTCCTCATGGAAAAGAACCTGGACATGATCCTTTTGAACACAGTTCAGGTCAGGTGAGAAACTCGATTCTGTAATCCTAGACAGGGCAAGAACAAGTCTAGCCAACAGTTAAGCAAACCCTTACGTAAGCGAGCACAAAAGCCTTCAGTTGACAATTGTCACTCAGAATAAATTAAGTTTCCCTCCCTCTCTCTTCTCTAAACTATCTTCAGCTGAATAGACAGTGGTCATTATGGCAAGTACCTGGGAGCGGGGAGTCGGGGGGGTCTGGCATGAGATGGAGTCTACGTAGTCTGGAAATCTATCTTCCCTCTCTTTTTGAATATGGCACTAAGCCAGAGTGACAAACAGCTCTGAGTGTTGGTCTGTTACCAGGGTTGGAAGGTTCCCCACTAGGTGGAGTAAACCAAATATAGTGCTTCCAAACTCAGCAGAATTTGATGGCCATAGCTTGTTCTTTCTAGAGAAGGGCTCATAGTTCAGTTAATTGCCAACTCAAACTACAGGCTTTCTTTCTTTCTGGGTCGTTATCTTTGAGGATTGTTTAGGTTTGATAAATCATGTCTTAAATATCTGCTGTTAGGAATTTACTGAATGCCACGAACATATCTAAAGAGGACACTTCTTTGAATAAGCAGGAATCAAGAGTGAATCCCCTCGCTCATCATAGACACACAGGCTTAGAACTAGTCTTCTGTTGAACTACTCAATGCAATGAGAAAACGGCAGGAGGAAAATTATTTGATGTTTGGTTGCTACCAGAAGTAAATATTTCTTGTCACTTCTTCCATTTATCTTTGTGCTTTTAGGCCTGGGAAACTTTCCAGGGTTAAAAAACAAACAAAAAAACAAAAACTTGATATTTAGAACCACAAAAGAAACTATTAGTAATAACACTCCAAATAACAACAAATTTCCATTTTTGATCAAGTAGTTGAGTAAAAAATCAGGAGCAAATGAGAAAAATCTTCATAAGATTTAAAATAAATAGCTTGGCCAATGAGGCACAGTGGTTGAGTGTTGACCCATGCGCCAAGAGGTCTCCAGTTCAACTACTGGTCAGGGCACATGCCCAGGTTGTGGGCCAAATTCCCAGTGGGAGGCATGCAGGAGGCGGCTAATTGATGTTCTCTCTCATCGATGTTTCTATCTCTCTCTCCCTCTCCCTTTCTCTCTCTAAAATCAATAAAGGAAAAATAAATAAATAAATAAATAAGCCCTGATAAAAAGTGTAGAGGCCGGTATTATTTAGTAGATATAGCTAGAATGATATGTCACAGTGTACCATCATAGGTAAGACTAATTTCTTCTAGCCTCCCTGAAAAATATGTTAGGGCATAAGAAAAAACATGTAGTCTCTAGAGATAAATGGGTTATTGAAGGAATGAGTCTCTTGACAGTGAAAATTAGCAGGAATGTGTCTTCTTTCAGTAGAGAACTGTCAACTACACTGCTATCCCTTAACCTCAAATCTAACTGTACAGACAGCTGAGTAAATGACTCTGACTTCTTATTCTGCTTGAAGAAAGACCACGTATGTACTAGGATTCTATACATTTTCAAACTGGCATATATTTTTAAAAAGGACCTCAATTGCTGCAGTTCTCTTCGATCTATAAATGTCATACCTTACCTTCTTTGAAAATTTTTTGCTGTTTTATTGCATTTTAGAGCTAGATAAGGTCTTTATTTTTAAAAATTTTCTTTTTCTTTATTAATTTTAGAAAGAGAGGAAAGGAGAGGGAGAGAGAGATAGAAACATGGATGAGAGAGAACACGATTAGCCACCTCCTGCACGCCCCTTACTGGGGATTGGGCCCACAACCTGGACATGTGCCCTGACTGGAAATTGAACCGGCAACCTCTTGGTGCATGGGTTGATGCTCAACCACTGAGCTACACCGGCTAGGTGGTCTTTATTATTATGAAGCCCAACCCTCTGACTTCATACATGAGGACACTGAGGCTCCGAGGGTTCAAGTGTTTAAGGTCACACAGATAAATAAATGACAGAGCCCATACTGGAATGTCTACTGACACATCAGAGATTTTTCCTTTTCCAGTCTTAATAGGAGCCACTCTTTCCTCTACTGTCCTCACCTCCTTTTAAAGCCACTAATGTGACAAAAAAAAAAAAAAATTGAGGAACCAGTATTTGCTTGAAATCAACACACCAACATTACTATGGGTGGAAAAGCCAGAAAAAGAGATACTTAAAGAGGAGAAAGTATATGTTTTACTTATGCTGGATCTTTCATTTAGGTATATTTCTACAGAGTTTCACCTTACAGGACATTTTTTTTCCTATGTACTTTATTTTTAAAATCAAAATGGAACTTAGTTATAACAAGTCATTGCTTTTTATTTATCTGTTAAGGAATAATTTTGCATCTCTGAATCTGGAGTGACCCTTACCACATGCTCTACTCTTGTTTTTGAAACAAAATTGGTCATTTAATTTATTTTGAAACAACTTTCCTTTGAATTGTCCTAAAATATCACAAGCTTGCTGAAGAAAATATGGTTCTTTTCAAGTTTCTCTTGGGCACCTTGGCTGAGGTAGGTGTAATCCATGTGAAAGACAGTAAAACAAGTTAGAAAGAACAGGCAAAGACATCAGACTTCCCTACCTGGAGATATCAGAACAGCAGATGAGAACAAAGCAATCTCCTCCTCAGTCAGCTGCAAGGAGCACAAATTCTTTGCGAAGTCAAATGCTTCATTCACTAGGTCATCAGAACCTATACAAGAAGGCAAATTAAATGAAAATACTTGATTAAAATGGGCAGTATTAAGAAAAGTCCTGAAATAAAAAACTTATTCAAGGTTTAATCTAGTAGGCATATAGAAAACATATTTCCAAGTTTCTACCCACAAAAAGTGATTTAGTAGTAATTATAGAATGAGGGATTCTGGGCAGCCTCTTGACCAGGTAATGAAAGTTAATATTACCAGTGAAGGGCGGATGGAAATGGTGTGTGTCAATTGTAATATCCAAGTGGGAATGCATAGCCCGAATCTAATGGTATAAGTTTGAAAGTAGTTTCAACTAAAAAAATTTAAATGAGTGATTTAAGATCCTTTAGTAAAGAGGTGACATTCATAGAAAACCTAAAACATTGTGTATAAGGGGTTGAAGACTAGCAATCTTGATGGCACTTGAACCTGACCTCAATGTTAAAAACCAGTAGAACAGAGATGAGGTATCTTTCAATTTGCTAACCTCCTTGGAAAATTGATTGAGGAAAAAGCATTCATTTGTTTTTACCTTCTAATGAATGATTTACAGGTCAGTTGCTTAGCCACTGTGAATTTTGGCAAAATAATTCTTCATCCCTACACTGATCCTTGGTAAATGTTTTTTTTATGAAGCTGGAAATATCCCCACGTTGCTTGCCAAGGCTTTTCCTCCTTTCTTGAAAATCTAGCCTTGGAGATGATATGGATGTGTATCAACTGCAGAAGGAAACACTGCCAACCCCGATGTCCTGTTGGCTACAGTATCACCTAACAGCACAAAGGGTCAAAGGGCAGTGGCCTTCTTGGATGTCTGTGGGCAGGATATGGAACAAATGGTACTGTCAATCGTTAAAACCTTTCCTGGCATTAGCCCATCTTTGCTCACGTCTTCTTATCCATGCTGTGCACTGGTGACTAGTTGTGAGTGATGCACAGACTTCCAGAGACTGACTCTGATCATGCCCTCCCACGAGCCTGGTCTGGGGATCATTTTGGGCAGTTCAACACCCACTCTATCTGTGGTCCCAGACTTCATGAGTTAATAGGGAGAGAGTCACTTCTCTGAGTGAGAAACTAATGGCTCCTCTTGTGAGTACCTTTAAAAAAATTTTAATTTAATTTTTTTTATCCTCACCCGAGGACATTTTTGCATTTCTCTTCAGATAGAGCAGGAGGGAGAGAGTGGGGAAGAGAGAGAGAGAAACATCGATGTGAGAGAGACACATCGAGTGGTTGCCACCTACACAACCCCAACTGGGGCCCGGGACAAACTGCAACCAAGGTACGTGCCAAGATACATGTCCCGAACCCGGGACTCTCCAGTCCATGGGCTCTAACCGCTGAGCCAAACTGGCCAGGGCTCTTGTAAGTATCTTAACTAAAGATCATGAGTTAACATAAAAAATGTAAGAGGTTACTCCATGGATCATCAGTGGTCTACACAACACACTTTTTGGAGCAGTAAATAAGAAGGTAAAAGAAAAGCTGACTCTACAAAGAATGACCTATAATGCATCCCAGACCTTTTAGAAACAGTCTTCATTGATTTACGAACGAGTCCTGGTCAGTCTCAGTAGAGTCCATGGTTCTCTCCTTCCTTTCATATATATATGGATGCACAGTGATAAGATCTGAAGAGTTAGATAAACTAGAGGCTCACCTAGTCCAACCCTTATAGAAAGTGAGATACTAGTTCACATTAAATAATCAAGGTATTTCACTTGCCAACTTCAAGCTGAGTAGAGAAACTGAGGGTAGCTAATAAAATTGTGTCATCATCAAAGGTAAACTTACCTAAGGCTTTGAACATCTGCATGCCTCCATATTTTCCTTCAAACAGAACAGTGTTGTTTAATGGGTTGAAGGCACGGCACATTCTCACTAAAACCACTTCCAAGCAACCTATGAGTAAAAACAAAAAGCAAACAAACAAACAAAAACAACACAACAACTATGTATAAAGAAGTTATGACTGCATATAGGTTAAGAGACTTTTAAGAACTTTGAAACATGCACACAGACACATATAGACACACACATACAGAAATCCTTCAAGATTCTTTTCCAAGTAAAAAAACACCTATTTTAGAAATAAAGCTCTCTTGATGCTTATGTGAAGAATTAAAGATAAAATACACTTTAGAGGTGGCTAAAATGGAAGGAAGAAACATTTTTCAAAAAGTATCTTTCTTTCTATTTTTGACTAATATTAAAGTTAGTTTCAGCTCTTGAATTCACATGTGATGGTGAATGACCCAGAAAAGCAGCTTTGCAGCAGGCGAGCCGATCTGTGAACTTTTGTAGAAGTTTTGATGTTGGGAAAATTAGCTATTTGCTTCTGTTTTTGACACACTCCATGTATATTTTAGCACATGATGACTTTATATAAAGACTCCCTCATGGATGTTCTTTGAAATAAGGGTTTCTTGGTCAAATAAATTTTGGCAAAACGCTGAATATTATTTATCTCCGGAGAGAAATGGGTCGTAGAAGGAATGAGTCTGAACGGTCACAGATCAAAGGCTTGGAGAAGCCCTGCTATGAGGAAGTTTGTTCAACCCTGAGGGACCTAACTGTGCCTGATGTCACTGTTAGCCCAGTGAGGACAGGGCAGGTCTGCAGCCATGGGCAGCCGTGGTGATTTTATGCACTCATGTATTTCCACGGCTAAAAAAGTCTCTGGTGCCTGGCAGGTGCTTAATTAATATTTTTTGAATGACTTAGTTTAACTACCTTTGTTTTTTCCCCTGGACATTTATGGACATCCTAAGGAGCTATTGCTGCACAGTTTCTCCACATTTTGGAGAAATGGCATTTCCCCCACAAAGCCTTGGAAGGTGACAGCCAGACTCAGAAGCCACACATTTGCACGAGGGCACTGCATGGGTAATTTGGCCACACTCGTGGTGTAGCCTGGGGCACCCGTGATGCTTTTCTAATGCTGCTACTTTTTATTTATGTCTGTGTTTTATTTCTTTTGCTCTGCGGCTTTCTCTTTGCTGCCCCTCAGATGTCACCCAGAATGGGGCTTACACATCGGAGGGATGTGCACATATTGATTGAAGCAGTGCTCTTCTGGCAAAAACAAAAGGTACCATTTATTGAGCCTCTACGATGTGGAAAGCACTTTTGTTGGCCCCTGACATGCATTTGTTTATTTGCTCCTTACACTACCATGTCATGTAAGTTTTATTAGCCCCTTTCAATGGATGAGTTACAGGAGAGGTTAAGTACTCTGCCTTTTCTATCACAGCAGGCAGTGGTGATAAAGATTGTATGGTCCAATGGTTCCCAGATGTCAGTCCACGGACTGGTTATACCTGAGACTTAGTTAGACATACAATGAACCGGGTTTCCCTCTAGGAGATTCGGATTCCACAGGCCTCAGACGATGCCCAGAACTCAAGACAGTCAGCAAGCTCCTGATGCAGCAAATGTAATTCCAACTGTAGCATTCATTATTTCTAGTCATCTCTTTACTTTACAAACGACAAAACTTTCATCCAGAGAGGTTAGCTCAAGGTCACATATCAAGTGTGGAGGGCATTAATTTTCAAAGAAAGTCACAAAAATATCCTCCATTCCACATGCTTTTCTAGAACCTTACCACTCCCCCATCAAGAAGTAGAGTCAGGTCTCCTGCCCTTGAACCCAGGTGGGCTTTCATGACTGCCTCAGGTAATAATAACACGTGTACCTTCTGAAGCTAAGTCATAAAAATGCTCTGTACTTCTGCCTTGTTCTCTGGGAATGCTAGCTTTTGAAACCTAGTGACTATGCTGTGAGAAAGGCCAAGCAGTCTGTGGAGAGGCTCACGTGGATAAGAGCTGCGGCCCCCAGCCCAGAGCCGTGGCTGACTTCTGGGCTGTCAACCAGCACAAATTGCCAGCCACGTGAGTGAGCCATTTTGAAAGTGGACACCCCCTACTCCCCACCAAGTTGCCTCAGTGAGCAAGACAAGCCATCCCTGCTGAGCCTTGCTCAAATTGTAGCTTTGGGAGCAAAATAAATGATTATTGTTGTTTGAACTAGTTTTGGGGTTGTTTTTACCCAGCAACAGGTAACTGATACATCAAGTTAAAGTTTGATACAGTCACCTATATCATTTGGTCGAGAAACAGCAGTAACTGAGAATAACTTAGGATTCCACGTGGCCCAAGTTCAAACGCCAGCCCTGCTGTACATTGGCTTCGTGATAGTGAACACAGCTCTCGCTTCTCGGAATCTTCACTGCCTCGTCTATAAACTGGAAATAATACTGACCTCACAAGATTAAATGAGATGTCATAGGTAAACATAAACATATATGTATGCTATTATGGAGAGAGGACTATATTATTATTATTGCTCTGGCTTAGGACTATGAAAGTTAACATACACACCATAGTGAAAATCTTCTATTTTCACATAGGGCCAAGAAGGACAAATGTTTTTTTGTCTTTTGTTTTTTTTTCTGTTTGGGTAATTGTGTCTGCAAAGTCAATTATGTGTAGTTTCTTGAGCTACTTCTTAATTGTGTGTGTGTTAGAGTCTGTGTGAGAGAAGGGGGAGGGACAGAGGAGAGCACAGTGGCGTTGCTCCCGGTGAATTCTGGCTGCAGGCTATCCTCATTAAAATGATTGGAAATGACCACAGAGGCAGAGCTCAGCTAGCCTGGATTTCTACCCCCACTCCCCAACAGAAGGCAAGTAGTACATTTCAGAGCCAGCTCAGCAATTCAGCCACCTTGACACGCTAATTACTTGCACTGCCTGTCAAGCTGGGTATCTCAACCTTCGCAATTAATAGCTCTACTTTCAATAAGCAAAATTGTATTTGACTTCAAAGGGGGAACTGAATGAGTATCAGGGCATTTTTATTGCTGAGAGGTTCCTTTGGGAGTTGACTGACAGTGTGGGTGGCAAAAATGAGATACAAGTTGGAAGGAGGATTTTCTAGAACCAACACAAAGCTCAGGGTCGACCACATCCTGGTCTAAAATAGGCTCACCTCATGAAACTTCTCCTTGCTTACCTGACTTCAGCAGTAGAATCTGATCATTTTGACAGAGTTCCATGAAGCCTGTTATCCTCTTTGCAAACTCGACCACATATTGGATGGCGTGAGTGATCTGGATGGCACATTGCTGCCACAGTGCTTCCCTGGACTTCAAGAGAGAAAGGACAGGATGTATGTGGAGCAAAGAACGACTTGGAGAACCAATGAAATACTCAGGGATGCCCTACTGTGCTTACCTGTCACCGAGGGACCACGGTGAGAATTCACCAGATTCCTTTAAAAAAGGTGGACATTATTTTCTAAGATCTTGTTTTGACCTGTTTGAACCTTGATACACCACAATTATCAAAGTATTGAGGCTAGAATCATAGAAACATTGCAATAGCATGTAAAGATTGTTTTTTTTAATAGTTTCCTTACTCTTTCCTCCTCCTTTTCCTCCATCACCTCACCTAAATAAACTCAAGCCCTTAGTCCATTTTGTAAGAACAAACTCTTACACTGAGGAATACCGACTTTATTCACAGGCTTTTGTAAGGTTATTTTCATGTGTGCCTGATGGACTGATGAACACTGAACTTGCAATATTTTTATTTTGTGCTCTTTTCCCAGAACTTACAGATATTTTTATGGGGGGTATAAAATAAATGTCAAGGGAAAAGATATCAAATCAAATGGCTCTCTTAAGTAGTATATAATCCCAGAAATGTATTTTGATCTCTGGGTTATTTACTTTGGAATGGGAAACATAAATCCAACTGCGTTAATTCTGGTTTTCATTGACCATACCTACGCTTTTGTCTTCATATTTATGTAAAAGTGGTGAGATTTAATTGTTCCAATATATGTTGTAATCATATATTTAGACACAGGCACATTTATACATTTTATTAAAATTGCATTGATTGGTAGATCTTATAACTGAGGATCTCAACCTCAAAGACATTTTGATTGTCATAATTGCGTGTGAGGTGGGTGCTACTGGCATCTAGTGGGTAGAGACCAGGGATGCTGCTAAACATGTGACAATGCACAGCAAAAATTGTCCATCCTAACATGTCAGTACTTCTGAAGTTGAGAAGGCCAGAAGTAGAAACTACAGAACATCGTTCCTGTAGTTTTCCACAGTACCTTGCTTTGATACGCTTTAATTTCTTCATAGGTGTGGGTCTGCCACGCCAGCTGGTGTAGCTCCTCCATGGTGTATTGACATGTCTCCAAATGGGACTTAATGATGTTCTGTGCAATTCGATCTATGGGAGAGAGTATCAATCAATTTGAGGGCTTGTAAATGAAATCCCGCTCTGCTCAAAGAAACCTGCTCCTAATGTGTTTACTATAGGAATGCCTTTTGGAGGTACTCCAACTGTACTAGAGTGTTTTTCAAACTACTATTGATTTTAAAATCTTCAAACTCCTTATTGCTTATTTTCAATTCTCAGTCTTTTAATCAAAATTTACTGTCTTTTCCTTCTCTGATTGATCACACACCTGGATCTTAGAAGCTGTAAAGTGCTCAAATAATTAGTTATTTTAAAAATAAATACAAATTACCATGTCTCTTACTTTTGGCTTAAAATTCCGCTAACAGTCTTGACATTTAAACTCCAAAGACTTTAAAATATTTGAAAATCATAGACCCCCCCTGTTTATCTCAGAAAGGAGAAATTAAAATATAAATGTATTTGCTCATCTTTTAAAAAGGGGAAGATTGAACAATAAATAAAAAAAATTTTCTATAAAATAAAGTTTTCTATAGAGGAAGAAGAACAGAGGGAAAGGAATAAAAGCAAGACTTCTCTGATGATATTGTTTTTGTAGATTTGACTTTGGAACCATGTAGATAGCTTATATAATTAATAACAAGAGAAGGATTATAATTAAAATAATAGAACTCATGAGCTGATAATTATTGAAGTTGGGTCATGGGGGCATTATATCCTCCTTTCTAATTTTTTTTATCCTCACCCGAGGATATTTTTGCATTTATCATCAGATAGGGTGGGAGGGAGAGAGAGAGAAAGAGAGAGAGAAACATCGATGTGAGCGAGACACATCGACTGGCTGCCACCTACACGACTCCAACTGGGGCCGGGGACAAACTGCAACTGAGGTACGTGCCCTTAGTGGGAACTGAACCCGAGTCTCTCTGGTCCATGGGCTGATGCTCTAACCACTGAGCAAAACTGGCCAGGGCTCTAATTTTTATATGATATAATTTTTCTTTAAAAGAGTTAAAAAAGAGAAAATGATTCTAGTCATAAAAAAGGTAGTATCGAACATAATCCCAAATGAGTTGTATTTGGTATTATATCTTAAATACTAATAATTCTGGGTTTGGATGTATGAAATTGCGTGATAGAACAGACAAAGGAGTTCTCCTTAAAAACCTGCTATGAATTCTCTGATTTTCAGCCTGATGATTGTTCTTGGCTCACACAAAAATGGAATTTTTCTTATGTTTCAGGTTGTGCCATTTCAAGTGTAATTTCTTCTATGACAGTTTTTTTTCTAAATAGCCATTTTTTATTTCTCCAAGATAACTTTCAAAGCAGTACTTAGATAGCTTCTTTTTACCTTGCTAAGATTCTGGAATATATGGTGGGAAATAAATTGAGTTTTAGTGATGCAGAGAATTAAAAACGTAAGCTTATTAAACTTCTATTGAACTCCCCCCACCCCCCCAATCTCATACAGCCCATTGCCTGGCAATTATAAACACTAAATAAAGGGATTTCCATTATTAGGACATTTTTTTATAGCTTGTCACTGGGGAAGCAGGGTGAGGACTCCAATGGGAAAAAAGCAGAGAGCTTTAATTTTGGAATCACTGCTACACTGAAGGAAGATATTTCAATATTTACTAGAGTTTTTCAATCAGAACTGTAAAGTTGTGGCTGCAGAGGTGCTGCAAATGTTAACGGAAGAATATAGTTATGATCTATTGGATTCAACACTGAGCACTTCCAGACTTCCATTGCTTATTATCTTATAAAAGAGTTTCTTTAAAAATTCCTATATCCAAAGTTTTATTGACTACCCTCCTACGTTGTAAAAAAGGACAGGAACTACCCCATACTTCATATTAAAATGGATTGGTATGTCATGGTTCATCGTTTTTCTATTTCACTTGGGCAACCTAATTATTTAGAATCTAAAAAACACATATCTATTCCTCAGTAGGTATAGAATGAAAACAGAGAGTTTTATGACTATGTCGTTTTCAAACCTTTATCTTCTTGGTGTAGTTTGTTTTCATCTTCAAAGACATGCTGATCTGTCAGTGATTTACAAGCTGCAGGGTTTATAAGCAAAACTGCAATTGTTGCTCAAAATTGCATTATGAAGAACTATCTGTTCCTTTATGACACATCCTGGGAACTGTTGGCCAAAGTTTTAGAATTCTCTAGTTTTCTGCCACCAAAGCTTAGGGCTTTATAGGGTATGAAAAGAATTGGCATAATAGCCCTGGCCAGTTTGGCTTAGCGGTTAGAGCGTCGGCCTGCGGGCCTGAGAGTCCCGGGTTCGGTTTCTGCTAAGGGCACGTGCCTCAGTTGCAGTTCGCCCTGGTCCCAGTTGGGGTTGTGTGGGTGGCAACCAATCGATGTGTCTCTCTCTTCCTCCCTCTCTCCTTCCTGCTCTATCTGAAGATAAATGCAAACAAATATATATACTCGGGTGAGGATAAAAAAAAAAAAGAAAAAAAAAGAATGGGCATAATAAATAGGCGGGAAGGTTAAGCAAAATTGGAAGTTAAATTCACGGGCATCGGGCATGCTTTGGGACTCAGCTCAGATATCCATTCCTGGTGCAGGTTTCCTTGCTTCTCTGTGTCCTCAGGTAGAAGGGTCAGCTACCATTGCACTTTGATTCTACCTCCAATGAAACGCTTAATCTAGTCAGACTCAGACTGGTCATTTGTGTGGATTCTGTTTGTTCCATGCTCGTCAAGATTGTGAGCTCTTCAAGAACTAGTGCCTTCATATATTCAGTCAACAAACGATGTTTGAGAAACACTTATAAGCCAGATTAAGGCACAGATATTTGAAAAGACTTTCTTTTCAGGATCTTACAATAATACCGTATCATAGCATGATGTAATAAATGCCCTGAGTTATTGTGGGGTCCCAGGAAGAAAGTGGCTAACTCAGTCTGGGGGAGGCAGAAAAATAACCACGGAGAAGATGCTGGTTGACCTGGTCCGAGTAGAAGTTTGTCCCATGAGAAAGAGCAAGATTAACCTTAGGTAGAGGGAATGACATTACAAAGGCACAGACAGAAAAACTGGCTCCAGCCCTGGCCGGTTTGGCTTAGCGGTTAGAGCATCGGCCTGCGGTCCAGAGAGGCCTGGGTTCAGTTCCTGCTAAGGGCATGTACCTCGGTTGCAGTTTGTCCCCGGCCCTGGTTGGTCGTGTGGGTGGCAGCCACTCTATGTGTCCCTTTCACGTCGATGTTTCTCTCTCTCTCTCTCTCTCCCTCTCTCCCCCTCCAGTTCTGTCTGAACAAAGAATGGAGGAATGTCCTCCGGTGAGGATAAAAAAAGAAAAAAAAAAAGAAAAACTGGCTCCAGCCTTGGCGACTTTAACAGTATATCTCACATCTTTACAGTCCCTGCCTTTTAGAATCAATTTCCCTTTTACTGAGGAAAAATATGAGGTTCAGAGTGAGTGACTCTGGACCCATTTTTACAGAGCTGGCAAAGGGTGCTTTGAAATTGAGTCTTTTCTAGCAAGAAGTCTCTAGTGTTTGCAGCATAGGGTGTGTGGAAGAGATAAGGAGATACAAGACTAGGGATGGAAATTGTGACTAGAGACAGAAGAGCTGAGAAAGGCATTTGGATTTTATCTCGTAGGCATCTGGGAGCTTGTGGAAGCTGTGAAGCAGGGGAGTGGTATGGTCGGGGTTTTGTTCTAGAAAGCTGATCCTGGTCATGGCAGAGAAGAGGAGATGGAATTAGAGAGTATGTGAGATTCATCAGGCTGTTGTGAAAATTCAACTGAGATCTGAGAAGGTTCTGGACAAGGTAAGAACGACAGAGGTGAGTGGAGGGGTTGGACTCAAGATAATTCTGAAGGAGGAGGCACAGTATCTGCAAAGGAGAGAAGGGGAGAGAGACAGAGGACATTCAATATTGTAGGTGCTTAGCCAATGTTGAGTTAGTAAAAATAATGTTGAAAATGTCCATCCATCCATCCTTCCATTTTCTGCTTTATTTCCCAAAGGACTTTAGAAAGCTTAGATAGAGCCTCCCTTTAATGATTTTAAAGCCTGAGCACTCAGAATGGCTTTGAAGTCAAACATTAAACATGCACAATTATTTTTCATACTCTTGTGGAGAGAAATAAAGGGCAAATCTCTTTTTGACATAAGACTTGTAAATATCAACAAAAGCTCAGACACGGTTGCAGACACAGTCCCTCTCCGCTTCCCCTGTGAGTCTGCAGTGCAGAGGGAGCCAAGGACAAAAACCCGACTTGTGCAGAATCCCGACTTGACCCTCTCAAAGCTCAGGTCAATAAACCGCAAGTAAAGTTACACTGGGTCCCCTAGGAACAAGGCCTGAGGTCTCGTTCTGTAGATTTGAAAGATGCACAACAGAGAAGACAGTTTACTTGAACCGAGAGTCTGCAGTGGTGAAAAGGGGAGAGAGATTTAAAAAGAAGGGACAAAGGGAGAGACAATGAACGCAGTATGCAAAGTTCCTGCTGGGAGCCAAAGGAACTTTCAAGAGTCCTTGCCTGGAGAAATAGAAAAGGTAATAGTAAACGCTATCATCTCCAGGGACCAACCACATGAGAAAGTCCAGACAAAAGGACTGAGGTAAAAGAGCAGAGGATATGGAATCTTTCTGGGCAATCACATACCCTTCATCCGGTCCCCCGACTTGGATTGCAGTTGCTCTCAGAGCCCAGTGTTTGTCGGATTCTTTGACTTGGGCTTCTGGAGGCACATGTTGGAGTCCGCATGCACCGTGCTGGGACAATGGGTCCAACAGGAACATGGCCCACGTGACTGACTAATGGGAAATTCTACCACCTGCAGAGGTGATGCCCATGGACCCACACTCTGCTCTTCCTAAAACCCGGGATGAGACTAGACATTTCTTAAGTGGAAAATAAAATGCAGTTAACATCTTAGTAGTTAAGATTCTGTAGGTATGTTCGGTGAGGCAGAGGTTTGTCCAACTCACTAAGAGTATATGGGCTGCTTTGACAGTTAATAAAATTATATCAAGGACTGAGAAACATAATTG